GATAATTATTTTGAAATAGAGAATTTCTGTCTGATTTAATAATGGATGAAGGCTGGTAATTTCTTGACATTATACTTGATAAGTATTTGAAGATGTAACTTTATAAAAGGGCTTAAAAGATTTTTTTTATAGATGTAGACCTACAATGGAAGACTGTAGATTGAAAGTTTCGTACTTTGCTGAAATGGTAAAGATTTCGACTTACCTGAAGAACTACTCAAATGAATAATTTATTAATATGGAGAAGATGGATTGCTTATATTTAAAAGAAGCATAGAGTGGTGGAATATAATTTAGGTTCTTAATAAATTTGTTTTTTTTTTCTTTTATATATTTTACCTACTTATGTAGAATAATATACTTTGTGGAGTTAGAGATATTAATATTTGTTTACTTATATCTGAATATTATCCTGGGATTAGGTTTGGGAAGTCCGGGGGGGTGGGGGGTGGGGTTTTTTTTTTCTATAGCATTGTGTAACATTTGTGATGTTTTTTTTATGATGAAAAATAATAAAAATTTTAACAAAAAAAAAAAAAAAGAGGAGACAGTGACATGCTCCTCTCCCACTGCTCTTCTCCTTGAAACATGCTGCCCCTAATCTGAATGTAACATTGAGTCTTCATGACCAATTGACCTGCCCATCATGAATTTATCCAATCCCCCTTTTAAAGCCATTTAAGTAAGTAGTCATCACCATGTCTGGGGATAATTCATTCCTCAAGTTCATTATGCATTAGGTGGAAAAGAGGTTGCTTTTTTCTGTTTTAAATCTTTTCCCCTTTAACTTCATTGAATATGTCTTGGTACTAGCGTTTTGAGAGAGGGGAAAAAAAACTTCCCCCCTGTCCATCTTCTCCAGGCCATTCATGATTTTATACATTTCAGTCACATTTATTTTTTTTCCTCTGTGGAGTCCCAAATATGTTAGCCTCTTCTCATAAGGAAAGTGAGAATCACTTTACATTTGCTTAAATTGAATTACATTTGACATTTCTTTGACCATCCACTCAGTCTGAAGAGATCCTCGTAGACCTCTACGCTGTCATTCTGAATAATTCAAATAGTATCTGCAAGTCCTCAACTCCTGACCAGTTGCTTAACAACTGTTTGACGTTATGACAGATCTTCCGAGAGTTACTTGTGACCCATTTTCAAAGTTATGATGAACACACACACACACACAGAGGCAGTCACAGGATCACATTTTGGGTGCTTGGCAACCGGCTCATCTTTGCAGCGTTTGCAGCATCCCGTGGTCCCATGACCATAATTTGCAAAGCTTTTGCCAAGTTCCTGGCGTTTACTTCCAGTTTCCAGCAGAAAATGTCCATTGGGGAAAATGGATTTACTTAATGACTGCAGCGTTCATTTAACTAACGAAGAGAAGGACGAGGGGGGACATGATAGCAGTGTTCCAATATCTCAGGGGCTGCCACAAAGAAGAGGGAGTCAAGCTATTCTCCAAAGCGCCTGAAGGCAGGACAAGAAGCAACGGGTGGAAACTAACCAAAGAGAGAAGCAACCTAGAACTAAGGAGAAATTTCCTGACAGTGAGAACAATTAACCAGTGGAACAACCTGCCTCCAGAAGTGGTGAATGCTCCAACACTGGAAGTTTTTAAGAAGAGACTGGACAGCCATTTGTCCGAAATGCTATAGGGCAGTGGTGGCGAACCTATGGCACGGGTGCCAGAGGTGGCACTCGGAGCCCTCTCTGTGGGCACTTGCGCTGTCGCCCCAGTCCTGGGCCTTCAGCTGGGTTTTATAAAACCTTTTCGCTTTAGGCCTCCACCGCTGTGTGCAAAAAAAAAAAAGTTTCAATCAGTCAATTTCAACTTCTCGCAGGAAAAAAAAGATCTTGCAAAGTTGAAATTGATTGATTGAACTTTTTAGTCCCACCCAGTCTGCCATTACCACCCCAGCCACGCTCACCCAGTTGGCCACGCCCACCCAATTGGCCACACCCAGCCAATGGGCCAAACCGCCTGGCACTCGACGATGCATAAGTGGGTTTTGGGTTGCAGTTTGGGCACTCGGTCTCTAAAAGGTTCGCCATCACTGGTATAGGGTTTCCTGCCTGATTAGATGACCTCCAAGGTCCCTTACAACTTTATCATCATTATTATTATTATAAGAAATGCAAAAGCAGGTCCAGTCACGTGATGCCTTGACTTACAATCACAATGACTTAGGACTGTGATTGTGGGCTCATTTACAGTCATAAGTCAGTGACTACTTATACTATAGTTTATCTGCGGCAGTGGGATTCTCTTTACACAGTCCTGAGGATAGCTCTCTTTCCTCCTGCTGCTCTAAACATACAGCTTCCATCTCTAAAAGGTTGGGAAATGCTTCTCTATAGTGCGTTTCAGTCAAACTACCTTGTACAACAACCATTTGCACTTACAATGGTGATGGAAAAGTAACTGTGCAAACAATCCTTGTATTTACAACCCTCCCAGGGTTGTAAAGCGGGAAAACTGGAATAAGATATAAGCACAATCACAGTTTCACTTAGCAACCACTTTGCTTAATGACAAGAGTTGCCAGTCCCGATTGTGGTCACTAAACGAGGATTAGAATACCTGTAGAATACAGTTGAGCATAATGCCTGTTCTCTGTAACGCAGAGGCTCAAGAAACTGCTTGAGGATGCGACGAACTGGTGCTACATTTTATTTGCAACTGAATTTGTCACAACTGATCTTTACACGTGTGATCAAAGTGAAGTGCATGTGGGTCAGGATGAATAGTTTCCAGGTTGCGGGTGAGCTGTAGAATTCATTTTGCTTAAAATATCCAAGAGTTCTCTTTTCCTTTGCTCTTGTTTTTCTGATTTTTCACTCACCCTCCCTTCCCTCAATCTCATATTGGTTTCCTTGCTTTTTTGTGTGCAGGACAAAAATCTATCCTCCCTGGTGGTCCACTCATCCAAAATGTCCACTCCTCCAAGCGCATCCTTTTCTCCATAGTCCATGACAAATCAGGTAAGGCTGCATTCTCTGGTCCTAGAAACTGCCCCCAAAATTTTACAGGTGAGTGTAAATTCAGATTATAGAGTTCTTTCATATAGGACCTCTATCGCAAAAAAAAAAATCTGTTAGAAAGGTAACACTAAATAATGTGTGGAAGGAAGATAAAGCCATAAGTGATTGATCTTAGGTTTGGGATTACAGATAAATGGACTAAATAATTGGTCTAAATCAGAGGTCCCCAACCTTTTGGGCACTGGGGACCGGTTCCGTGGAGAGAGGTTTTTCCGTGGACCGGAGGGTGCGTGGTTTTGTGTGCTGCCTGCATCTCGTATACGGGGTTTGCTTGTTTATATGGACCGGTTGCTGGCATGCCGCAGCCCGGTTCTGGTCCATGGACCGGGGATTGGGGACCCCTGGTCTAAATCATAGAAAGACAAAGTTTGGTTGAATGTAAAATATATATATATAACAATAGGAGCAGTTGGACAATGGAAGCATTCCTCCACAGAAGTAGTGTCAGCCTCACTAAATAAACTAGACCAGGAAACTAACTGAAGGTAGTCCTCAATTTATGATCACAATTGGGACCAGAATTTCTGTTACTAAGTTGTTGGGGGTAGTCGTTGCTGATTTTTATGACCTTTTTTGTCAGAGTTGTTAAGCAAATCACTGCAGTTGATAAGTGAATCACACAGTTGTTAAATGAATCCAATTTCCCTCATTGACTTTGCTTGTTGGAAGCTTGCTGGGAAGGTCGCACATGGCAATTACACGATGCTGGGATGCTGTAGTTGTCGTAAATACATACCGGTTGGCAGTGCCTAAATTTTGCCCATGTGACTGGGGAGTCTGTGATGGTTGTAAGTGTGAGGACTGGTCATAAGTCACTTTTTTCAGCGCTATTGTAACTTTGAGCAGTCACTAAACAAATGGTTGTAAATTGAGGACATATTGGCATCTAGGAAATTGATTTAAGGTCATCAGAACTACCTGCTTTAAATGACAGAAACTCTTTGGAGTTTCTCAGGCCTGTACAGAGATGCTGCAAATAAGGTTGTAGGTTTTTGCAAGTGAATTCTATGTTTATTCTCTGTATTATTGTCTCCTTTAATGTACATTAGCTGGAATGAGACTTCCTTTTCTTCACATCTAATGCAAGACTATTGGGTTGGGGGGTCTGCAACTTGCCTCCTGTCAGGTGCGAAAGATCAGGTCCACATGTGAAGGTCCAATTAAACTGATTTATTGCTACTCATGTCTATGCATAGGAATATTCTCAACTAAGATTAGCAGTTGCTAGAAGTTAGATAAGGGTCAACAGAATTCAAGGGGATTGGAGTTAGTTTGTTTGTGGCTACCTAGAGATTCTAGGCTGATCCCTCTTTTGACTCCACCCCCAGGTTCTACCACTCCTAATATCAGTACTAATATTCAAACACATCTGATCTATCACCCCTACACCAGTGTATCTGGCAGTTCACAGATCCTGTCACTGGAATAGTGACGGGGTCACAAAAAGGCATGGGGCCAATTCTTTTGCTGTTATTCCCGTTTGGGGAGGCTTTTAAAGCTGGTAATGGAAGCAGTAGCATATGGGAAGCATACCTTCCCATCTTCAGTTTAATTCTACCCCAAAGTTCCTCAGCACTAGCTGAACTCCTGGTTTCCCTGTGCTCTACCTAGAGCAATATTGTTTGCACTGATTAGCAATGATTTTCCAAGCTTTCAGACTAGAGGTTTTCCTGCTTCTACACTAGAAATACCAAGGAGATCAATCTAGCACAGTGGTTCTCAACCTTTTTAATGCCGCGACCCCAACCGGTCGTAAGTCGAGGACTAAACCGGTCGTAAGTCGAGGACTAAACCAGTCGTAAGTCGAGGACTAAACCAGTCGTAAGTCGAGGACTACCCAACCGGTCGTAAGTCGAGGACTTTCCCTGCCCGGGAGCGCCGCGCATGCGTGGTTCCGCCCCCTGCGCCGGCCGAGGCGTAGCTGGCAAGCGGCAGAGACGGAGCAGGCCGACCACCAGCTGGCCCAGCTCAAGGGAGGTAAGGCACCCGCCAGAAAAGGGGAAAAAAATGGCGGACAGCCTTGCTTGGCGACCCCCGTGAAATGGTCGATCGATCCCAAATGGGGTCGCGACCCATAGGTTGAGAACCGCTGATCTAACAGGTTATGTGAGCTAAACGTGTGTTCCACTAATTTCCCTATCATATTTAAAATATGGATATTGTTTGCTCAAAATTGACAGCACTCCAGTACCTTACCCTTTTCTCACTGGCTTCTTTTCATTTTTCTGACTTGAGATAGTTTCTTATAAGCTTTTATAACACATTTTAAAGTGATGATATATTTTTATAATACACAGCTCTATTTTAATTCTTTTCTATAGATGCCAAGTCTAATTGCGGAATGTAAATATTTTTATAATACAAATACATACAGTTGAGCTTGCCAGGAACTTAAAAAAAAAATTATGTGCCTAGGCCACCCAGACTATTCACTCGAATAAAAAAAAACAGGGACTAAAACAAAGTCAGTCAGTCAAGGAAGTAGGCGTCACAAACATCAGAGTTGCTGCCGCGCAAATCTTATTTTGGAGGACAGCAGATGGACCCCTGTCAGCCCCACCTCCTGCAGAAGTGTGAGGCAACAGAATGTCAAATCATTTTACCATGGTTTTGCATTAACAGAAATGGGGTAGAGTCACAGCCCCTGCAACTCATCCCCCAAATTCTCTCAATTCTTCCCCTTTTATGATAGAGGAGAAAGAGAGAAAGAACTGAATTGAGAAATATTTAGATCAGTGATCAACTACAGTTTAGGCCAAGGTTGCCTACCTGTGGTTTAGGTGGATCTCACTTTTGACTAAACTTCAAGGGCTCACTACTCTATATGAATTCTTTCCCCTGGGCAAGATGGCTTTAATATTATCTCAGTGCCCATTTTTGCATCGCAGACCTCCCACTGCTTGGGTGTGACCTGCATAAATTTTAAAAAAGTAAAGTTCACTTGCAAAAAATGATGCATACAGCCGGTAGCAGTATCTGGGTGAGGCTGGCTGGGCCTTGTTATTATTTGAATGGAAGACCACCAGAAAATCCCAGGGCTGTATTCTACCCTGGGATCACTTCCATATTGCTGTTTAAGAAAGAACTTGGAACTGTTCATGAAACTTACTGGAAGTTAAGTTTGACTTGAAAAAAAGATTAAATCTTTTTACCCTTGAAACAGTCACCCGTGGAGACATCTGTATGAATGCAAACAAAAAACAAAACCAAAAAAAAACCACACAGTACTGCAGACTAAATGTATCTGGACTGATAATTAAGGCCTACAATTTTGGATGATGCTTGCTGTATCTGCCTTGCTTTGTGATGATTTTGGAAACTATATGTAGTAAGGGTTCCTATCTGATGTAGCCAGTGCAAAAAAAAAAAAGCCCCAGCAATGGGGTAGGAAGGCAAACAGAATCTTCTTTTGTTTTCCTAGATAAATGGGACAGTTTTATAAAAGAAACCGAAGATATCAACACCCTGAGGGAATGTGTGCAAATTCTGTTTAACAGTCGATATGGTGAGTGGGTGTGAAATTCCTGTTTATCATCTGTGGTGCTTGTGGCTGGCATATAATTACGAAGCAATTTTAAGGCAATTTTTTTCTCTTGATCCTAAGCTTTTTTAAACGAAACCTCTACTCGTTGCAACTGCAATAGATGGCTTGTGTTACGTGTCCTCTCCTTAATTCCTTCTTGGCATGGTGTTTTTTGGGGTGATACAGCTTTTAAGGAGGTTCAGGAGGAGGGTTCCATTTGAAAAGTCAGCTTTTATCAATCTCTACACTGGCCTTTCTCAATGGCAAATCCTTTGGAAGCCAAAACAGCAAGGATGTCATCTATGAGGGAAGCAGTTATATCTGTGGCAGAAAGCCAGTGCCTGTCCAGATGTTGTTGGATTGCCACTCCAACTCCTGTGCTGGGAGGGGTTGATGGGAACTGGTTTCCAACAGAAAACAGAAGACCACAGGATCCCTGTTATGTGAATATAACAAGGAATGCTTGGTTTTGTATAAATAACTTTACCATGATGATAGTTGCCCCATAGCAGTTCTTGTTTTATCCCCACCCTGTGAAAGTAGCCTGTGGTAAATTGGGTTTTTGAATCTGTAACTTGCCAGTTTTAGGAAAGACACTAATTGCTACAATTTTCTTTCTGCTACTAAGATGGCATCATCCATTATGATTATCTTCATGGTTACCTTCTGAATTATGTGAATGTTTTGCAAATATTTCTCTCTTAGCTCTCCTCCTCCCCTTCCTCCTCCTCCTCCTCCTTCTCCTCCTCCCTTTTCCCCTTCTATTTCTTCCTCCCATCCCTTCTCCTTCCTCCCCTTCTCTGGCTTTTTTCCTCTGGTATTTTGATTTTTAAAGGTTATGCTGGGTTAAACATTAAAAGATAAACAGGAAGAATACCTTTGGGATAGCACAAATGATTCGCGTTTCTTTGTATAAAGTGCACTGGTATACACAGCAATAAAAATATTTATTTTCAATAAAGGCTCAAGCATTGACCTTAATACATAGTTCAGTGCAATTATGCTCACATTTAAAATTGGATTGCTGAGGCTAAGAAACTGGGATAAGTCTAAAATGGGAGGGTGATTTGAATTTGGAATGTTCTGATATATCACTTGATCTATGAAATACTTATGGCCAAAGTAGGTAATATTTATGCAATTTATGTCGTGGGGGAGCCAATGATTACATTGGGCAGAGCAGTTTTGGAAGAGTTAAAAGTTAAAGGCTTATTTGACAAATCTATGTTATTTTGCATCTAAATTAGCAATTTCCTTTTAAAATTTAAGTGCATAATTTCTGGCAGATTGGGTTGGAAATGAAAAATAGGTATTCCTTAATCACATGCAGATTGTGGATTCTGTACAATGACCTTCTGCATAAATGATTATGCTTTTAAAAATCTTTGTTTTAATGGGATTCTGATTTGTTTGGAATTTTTTTTATGTTGGGTGGTTTTCAAAGGGGACAATGCATCATCATCATAATCATTGTCATCATCATCATTAATAAATTTATATGCTGCCCAACTCCTAGTAATCCTGGGTGGCTGTGATCCCAGCATCAGTGATCAAGGCCTGTTTACAAAACCAGGCTCACCTCAATATGGGCCATCAGCTGCCTCTGAAGTTATAATTATATATTACCTTAGATATCAAAGGCAGAGCTGGGGAATACACAAATATTAAGCTTACACTGTAGATTGGCTTAGGAGGAATGTGGTTTTGTAAATCTAGCCATTCTAGTTTGTTAATAATTTTAGTTTATCATGATATGTAAATTGCTGTGGTTTATTTAATAAATAATTAAATCATAGCTTAAGCAGTGTTTGAAGACAGTTAGTGATTGGGTTTACATAACATACTTAACTTGAGTTGTCTCATTTTCTGGGCATATCCAAATCACTGAATCATTAAATTAACCAGTGGATCTGTATAGTACATTAAGCCATAAAAAACTAACCAAGATTAAAAATAAGCAAGTACAGAGACTTATGTTTTCAACTGAACCGTGCTGACTGTACACAGCCAACATATCTCTCAGTTTCAGCCACTGGGGAATATGGACAAGAAGATGTCCAGTTTGAGGGTATTCCAGAGAAATGGAGGGGTCAAATTTGTGACACGGAAGACTGGATTGTAGAGGCCTTTGGTCTAATCCAGTGGGGTTTGTCTTATGTTCTTATTCTTCTGCCTGTTCTTATATTAAAGATTCTATGTTCTACCATGTTCAGCTGAAGCCTTGGGGCTGGATCACATGGTCCCTGTCCCGTACCGGAAAATTGCCTGTGATCCGGAAGCAGTAGAAATCATTGGAATTCCAGACAAAATCCCCTTCAAGAGGCCCTGCACCTATGGGGTCCCCAAACTCAAGCGGATCTTGGAAGAAAGGCACAATATCCACTTCATGATCAAAAGGTACTTCATTGCTTGAGCATTCACATAAGTGGATGTTGGAAGGAACTGGGAAGTTTGGGACCTTCCATTCCAATCAGTAGTATCCCTGGAGAGGTCAAAAAAGGGTGTTATCTCTATCCATTTTGACTTTTCACACACACACACACACACACTCCTCCCACACACACTTCTGATTCCAGTGGAAATAAGGCTTTGTAAATGGATCTAGCATTTCTCCAACTTTATTTTCTTGAGGCAAATTTCAGAATTTGTCAGCGTTCACCCAAAAAGGCAGCATAAGTTTGTATTACAGTAGAAAAACATGCTCAATTTATGGTCCCACAAATCTGGGAATCAGCAACGAGATTCAGCATCTTAGTTATCTATCGACTTGATACATTTTAAAAGTCACTTTCTAATAATCATAAAGAAGTTCAGCTCTCTTTCCATGTGAGAAAGAATAAAAATGGTTATGTCATTTTGGTAAGTTTGTGACGTGAATTGCCGATTGGAGGGCGGTGAGGTTTATCCCCATATTAATTACAGATGGATGCTTTTTATTGTTATTTTTCCCCTTCTTTGCATCTGAATTATTTCTCCTTCCTCTACAGGATGTTTGATGAAAGAATTTTTACAGGTATGTCAGACATTTTCCCCAAAGATCCTGTCAAACAGAATGCAGCTAGAAACTTTGAAGTTTTTTCCTTCTCTGAATTTTTTAAAAAATGTATTACTATTATTATCTGTACTAGAGCAGGGTGTCAAACTGCTGGCCCACGGGCCGGTTGCATCATGTGGAGGCTGCACCCAGTACAACTTTGGCAATGCAAAAAAAGTTGCGATACGTCGCAACATGTCACGTGACGTGGAGAGTTTGACACCCATGTTCTAGAGTATGGAATTCTTCATGTGACACTGAAATGTGATTTGCTGTTTGGTTTGAGTCATAGCAAATTGGCTCAATTTGGAGAATTGGAGAGGCTTGTGTTAAACTTATTAACTGTACCTATGGTTTGTTGTAAGCAGTCCACTTTATAACCCAAGGCCTTAATCTGTCTCATTTAGTAAAGTAATTAAACTGCATAATAAAATTATTCACAGTTTTTCAGAATTGATTGCTTAGCTGAAATGCTGTCCACCCATGGTTGAACTGGAAGAAAACAATATTGAGATGAACAAATTGGAAGGAATAGAGATTTCCCTGTTGCCAATCCCTATCTTGCCTTCCCAGTCATTGTCAGTCACCTGATTTCCCTCCAAGGTAACAGGTGACAGAGAGGAACAGATTTTGCCCTTCAATGTGTTAGAATAAAAAAGTGCAATTTTAATACTGGAACTTCTAAAAATGACTTAAGCTTGACTCACTTCTAGACTGGGAATGAGTTGGTGGCAACATCATGGGATCACAGTAGAAAAGAGGTGTTCTCAAACTAGGTTGGTGTTAGGTTAGGTTGAAAGAGGGAAATCTTCAGTCAGAAATGAATATGAAATCTTCCAAACATGGTCATGTGAGGGAAAACTAAAAATTGTAAATGAACTTAAGACTTATTTTGATTCAAAATTGTTTGATGATATTCTGCTAGGAACAAGTTATCTAGTGCAGAACAGGTAAGAGATCTTAACATCTCTATCTTCTGACCCAAATACCAAATATGATTCTTCTGCTCCGTAGAGCAATTCTGTAAATAAATGGAATTTTCAGAACCTCCCTTGAGTGTGATGAAGCTTTTCAAATCCATTGGAAAGGATTTGGGCCTTTTTCTTTTAATGAGAAGTGGATGCCCAAATTTCTCTCCCAAAGGCCTATGGAACAGTTTTCATTATAAGCTCTACCAATAATGAACGCATCTTCCCCAAATGGCAAATTGGAAGAGATGAGATTATGCTGTGACATTAGCACTGATTGATTAATTATGTGCCATCAAGTCACTGTTGACTCATGGTGATTACATAGTTTTTCCCTAGAGCAATCAGAGTCCATTGTGGTCCTTTACATTTTCTAATGCTTGATATTGGTTTTAAGAAATTCTGAAGGGGAACATTTTTCTTCCTTTCTCTGGAGGATGGCATTTCTTTGGAATAATCTGCTTGGTCATAGAATTGTAGAGTTGGAAGCTATCTTAATGATTATTCAGTCCTACCCCTTGTTCAAAGCAGCCTCCACAAAAACATTTCTGATAGATGACTATCCAGCCACTCCCATTCTTCATGTTGCTGATGGATGCCAAAAGGGCAAAACTTTCAAAGGACTAATGCCTTGATGTGTCTTTTAGACCATATAGTTCTTCTTTCTTCTAAATTGGGCAATAGCAAAATATATTTCTTTTTCTTTCCCTATGCTGCCCATGCTACCAGGAAATAAATTTACCAAAGATGCAACCAAGATTGAGCCATCAAGCCCCTCTGGGGAAGTCTCCCCCGAACCACATAGAATGGCATTTCTTGATTTAGCAGGGACTTCTCAAGGTAATCACAGGTAAGCTCATTTTTATCTTGTTTAAATTGTGGAGTATAAAGACCATGGTGTATCATTGCTGGGATATGTAGCTGATAAAATACTGCCTCTGGTTATATTTTAATTAACATAGCTGATACATATTTATAAATTTCTTCCATGATTATATTACTTTTTAAACCAAATAGTCCAGCAGCCATCATGATATATTGGGACAAGAGTTGCATACTTTGATTATACTTTGTGTTAAGAAATACATCAAGCCATTATATGGGAAATGAATGGGATTCCAATGACTTTATTAAAAGCATGAATTGTAAAGCCACAAATACTTGTTACTTGCTTAAATGTGTTCTTTCTTAGTTGGCCTATACCTGTGTTTCTTAGAAATATCTTTGTCTGTGATATTCTGTCACCATCTTGTTTTTTTCTATGTTCAGGTCACTAGATGGCAGCAGATACAACCATCCCCTCTTTGCTGCCATCTAATGGTCATATTGTCAGCTTAGATTTGGCAGCGTTGTTCTTGATAAAATCAAGAAAAGAATTACACTAAATGTTCATCCGTATTACTTAAATTTCAATCTCAATTTTTCCCCAGAAAGCTGTTTTGTTGATACAATGGCCCAGTGACATGATTAAGTTAAGAGAAAGACGTAATTCCATAAACCACTGAACAGGGATATTTATATACATTTATTGCCTTGTCAGTTCTATTGAGCTCTTATAAAATAAATCAATTTTACATCTCAGTTTGCCAAGCATAAAGACAAGATACTATGGTAATATAGTCAAAGATTCATTGCAGTTTAGCACAGGAAGTATTCTTCTATCTTAGAAGACTTTATTCTTTTGAGAAGGATGTGAAGGAAGGATTAAAGGGTTAATATAAATAGGATGAAGTATTTTCCTATCCTTCAGCCTTGAATACTTTATTTGACTGACAGATTCCAGATCCAAATGATACTTAGAAGAATGCAGAATGCAAAAAGAATGCAAAGAATGCAACACACTGAACCAAACTAATTTTGGTCAACTTATGACCAAAAATGAGCCCAAACTTTAGGTTGCTAAGTGAGATACTTGTTAAGTGAGTTTTGCCCCAGTTTACAGCCTTTCTTGTCACAGTTTTTAAGTGAATCACTGCAGTTGTTAAGTTAGTAACATGGTTGTTAAGAGAAACTGGCTTCCCCATTGACTTTGCTTGCCAGAAGGTCTCAAAAGGGGATCATATGACCCCAAGATGTTGCAGCTGTCACGAATATGAACCAATTGCCAAGCATCATGTAACCATGGGGATGCTGCAACGGTTGTAAGTGTGAAAAATGGTCATAAGTCACTTTCTCAGTGCCATTGTAACTTCAAATGGTCACTAAATGAATGGTTGTAAGTTGAGGTCTATCTGTAATCTGTAAATCACAAAACCTGCTTGATCCTCCTTTCATTTGCTAGGTCTGAAAAATGGCCCATGTCTGGAGACTGTGAACCAGGTAACTTACCAGCAATCACTGCTTTGTTCAAGTAATGGTAAGAAGAAGATAGGAGAGACTGTCTGCATTTGAAAATAATATTGAGTTAATCATGTAGCGTTGCCGTAGTTTTCATGATTTAATGTAATGAATTATGTACTATTATCTATTTATTTATTTGTCCAATTTAAATAGCTGCTGAGCTCACAAATCACATGACTATAAACATATGACTTAATAAATGTATTAAGCCCATTAGGGTAGTAGATAACCAGTAACATAAAGTTAAGATTCTCTTTAAAAATGCCAAGCATTGGTTTGCCTAGAACAAAGATTTTGATCCTCATGACTATTATGGAGAAGAATTCTAAAGGAGCTGAGAGGAGCTTCTTGCCTTGATATATATCCTTGCCCTTCTTAAATTTGATATATGGGTTGGGGTTCCAGATTCAATTTGTATATGTTCAGGAAGAGGTAAGTAAGGCTCCTAGCAGGAACCACAGGCAGTTACCATTGATTGCTATGATCTGAACCTACTCTAAGGCAGCTTCTGCATTCCTGTTTACATAAATCCTTTATTCAGCACCATGAGGACTAGAGTCTTACTTTATTTTTGTACAGAAGAGCTATTAACTCAGTTGTAGAGTATATGTACCAGAGTTCCCTTCAGTAGATGCAATGCTATATAAATTTATTCAATAAATAAATATGCTTCTGTACAAAAGATCTACGTTCAATCCTTGGCATCTCCACAATGGACTTGGAAATGCTCCTGAGATCTTCAGCCTTTATTATAAACTACTTTAGGTGTTTTAAAAATAAGAAGGTATACAAAGTTGCAAATCAATAAGGGAGACGGAGAGAGAAGAATAAATGGCCCAACTTAGTATTTTAATTGATTATACTGCTTTAAGTATCACAGTAGAGATACTTAAGATGTTGAAGAATCATTTCTTCTTACAGATTTCATAGTTTCATTTGTCTAAGAAGCTTCCTATGTCTCTTCCTGCTCTCTTGTCTCTGGGTCTCTCTCTTTCTCTTTTTCTTCTGTTCCAAATTTTCACTGTTGCTCTGCTTCCCTTGATAGGTACCTCAGGAGAACTGGGAGGGATTAAACGCATCAAAATAGAACCAGATGAAGTGGACATAATTCAGATCACTGTTCCAGGTCAGTACATAACACAACAGAAGATTCCCTAGGCCAGTGATGGTGAACCTTTTAGGGACTGAGTGCCCAAAAACTGGCCCCGGCCCCGACCCTGGCCCCCACCCCTCCTGCCTGCAGGGCCACTCACTGCCTGCAGGGCCCGCCGCAGATCACCCAGGCAGCCCAGCTGCGCCATGGCGGCCACACCCTCTGCCCGCGCCCCGCAGCATCAACTGTGCGGGAAGGGGCGTGAGGGCAGAGTCTTGTCTACGCTGCCTGGCTGCCATGTCCTTGGCTGTGCTGCTCCATGTGGGCCACGCTTGGGGGTGACTCTCTCCAGGGGGGCTGCTGGTGAGGAGGGGGTCATGGAGGGAGGCGAGGCTGGGACAACGGCACGTGTGCCCACAGAGAGGGCTCCGAGTGCCGCTTCTGCCACTCGCTTCTGCCATAGGTTCGCCACCACTGCCCTAGGCTTTCTCTTTTCAGACTTATCCTGACTTCTGTTAGATTTTGCTACACCCAAATATCTAGAGGTTGACAGGTTGAACCCTCAAAAAATCTAGGCCAGGAATTAGCGATTTTTTCCAGGCCAGGTCCTCAAACCAAATCTGGAGTTCTGTAAAAAGTTAACGGTACTCTCAAACAAGATGACTGAAGTTTGGCAAGATTTCAGAAAATTGGTCTCTTTTATTGTGATTGCTTATTCAAGTCCTGACAGGTGTCTTGATATTGAGGGGCCCTGCCTTGGCAACCGCTGGTCGATGTGTAACTAGTCTGGTCGACCAGACTAGATAAGCTAGTTTGGTCTAGTGGTTTAAGGCACCATTCTAGAAACTAGAAGACTGTGAGTTCTAGTCCTGCCTTAGACGTGAAAGCCATCTGGGTGATTTTGGACCCGGTTACTCTTTCTCAGCCCAACCCACTTCACAGAGTTGTTGTGGGGAAAATAGAAGGAGGAAGATTAGATATGTTTGTCGCCTTATGTTATAACAATAATAAAAAGGTGGGTTTTAAAAAAATCTAAAATAAATAAGCAGTTCCATTTAAGCATTCTTGTTTGGGATGGAATATCTATCTTGAAGGGCTAAGAGGCACCTTCCAAGCAACATGTGAGCATTCTGGAATCCTTCCTGTCCCAGCAGTGATCTGAATACCAATGATGCTACAGGTTTTAAACGAGACCTGCTGCCTCAAGTGGTTCGGTCCCTTGGGCCAGAGCTGAATCACCAACCTACTTAAAAGCTGGCACTAGATTGCCACGTCTCCTCCATCTCATTAACAGATCCTGCCCTCTGGGGTCACTGCCAATTGCTTGCCACTCTTTGCCACAAGTTGCCATTTGTCATCCCGAATAAATGACGTCTCTGAAGACTTCGTATGATAGGAATTGCACTTGGAGAAGCAGTGATAAGCACCAAGTGTAACACTTTGGTTTGCTGTTACATGGGAAGACTTCTTGTCACCGGAAGTTTCAACTTTCACTTGGGTCGAGGCATTTTCAGGGACTCCGATGAAAGAAAGATATTCATTTGATCCAAAAGCTGGGTGATGAATCAAAATAACACGAACGAGCATGCTAGCTTTTGAATTCTCACATTCCCTTTTGAGCTATTTTTGCTGAACCCTGTAATGCTGCCAGGCAGTTAAGGGATTTGGCCTAGGGCCATAATTGTTTTTTTCTATTATTTAATTAGTATTGCACCTTTCAGTCTGAAAGGACATCTTCTATGTAGCCTATCACAGGAAGAGCGAAAGGCCACCTGTCTCGTGATAAATGAAAGCTTATTCTTATGGTGACTTCAATGCAAGGGGGGAGTCAGATGAGAAGACCTTTCTATCAGCATCCTCCTCATTCAAATACATCTTTCCCTTTACTCACTCAGCTATCAAAGGACAAAATAGGGGACCATAAGGGGGCTGTATTTATTACACTTACAGGCAGTCCTCGACTTACGACCATAATTGAGCGCAAAATTTATGTTGCTAAGCAAGACAGTTGTTAAGTAAGGTTTGCCAATTTTATGACCTTTCTTGCCACAGTTTTTAAGTGAAACACTGAAGTTATTGACCTGGTTGTTAAGTGAATCTGGCTTCCCCATTGAGTTTGCTTGTCAGAAGGTCACAGAAGGTGATCACATGACCCAGGGACATTGCGATCATCATAAATATGAACCAGTTGCCAAGCATCCAAATTTCAGTCATATGGCCATGGGGATGCTACAATGGTCGTAAATGTGAAAAATGGTCATAAGTCACTTTTTTAAATTGCCATTGTAACTTTAAATGGCCACTAAGCGAATGGTTGTAAGTTGAGGACTACCTGTAATAGGTTGAATTTATGTCCACTGAATGGAGGATCAGCAGCAATTATCCTGTTGAATTTTCACACTAGGCTGGCGCGATGAAATTGCTGCTTGACTATACTATAATCTCAAGGAATCTTTAGACATTAGAACTGAAGAAGCTTCTTGGATAAGAAGTGAAATGTTTTCAAAGGAAAAACCCAAGAAAGTCCAGTTGCCTTTTGGAAAAAGCATCTTTGGGACAACCATGACCTGGATGATTGAGAATCTCCATAGGCACTCAAGGAATCTAGTCCCCTTCGTAGAGAAATGTTATATAAGTAGCTGACCTGAAGTGATCATTTTCATGGCATTCTAGTAATTAAAGCATTTGATAATTTCTTCTGAGAATTAAACCCTGCAGTTACTGAGAAACCAGATTCAAGGCTAGGCAGTCCTAAATGGATATCACAGTGAGACAACAAGTGAATTATTCTTTCCTGAGACAGCTTTGCAGATATTTTCTACAATAGCTGACGGTAAGATGCCTGGAAATGGCATCTTACAATAATATAACAAACTTGTTTAGCTTCCTAAACCAAACCTGGGGTCAAATAAAAAAGCAAAAGCTGAGAGCAAGACTTAGCCCACTCAGCCTTCGTTTGATTCCGAATGCCAAGAAGTTAGGAAAGAACTAGTTAGGCAATTCAAAATAGATCCAGCTTTGCATTCTATATAGAAATTTGCTGAAAAAACAATATAGACGCCTCCAAATTAAAAAATGAGAATTTTCTAGGATCTCCTGGTAACAGCTCATAGTGGCATTATAAGCTAGGAATGTGACCTTAACTTGATGCTTAATAGTTTCTCGTCATATCTAATCTTCTTTCATACTTTTACTGCAGTGTGAGATCACTTTAAGGGAGTCCTTGGTGCTTTCTGAGCTTAGTTGTTTTCTTGCAGATGTTTCATTACCCAAACTAAGTAACTTCATCAGTGCTGCACAAGGTCCTTTTATTTCAGCTGTGAGCTACAAATATTCTCTATGCAGAGCCATGCGGAATCAGGAATTCTGGGAATTGGAGTCCACAGGTCGTAAAATTGCCCACTCCTGGATTAAAGTTCTGCAGAATTCTGATCTGTGACTGTGATAAAGAACTGACTAACTTATTCAGGCTTCATGTATAAGTTACACGAGAACACGCCTAATGAAACAATGTGGTTTAAATTCCACAGAAAACATGAATATTATAATTGAAGGAGTTGGTTGGTTTAGTTTGAAGAAGAGAAGTTCGAGGCAAGGCCTGATTTGAAGATTTTTTTTTAAAAAAAACACATTTTATTGGTTTTTTAAATTCTTAAGAAAGGGTACTCAAGACCCGCCGTGGTGTTTGGGTAATCAAACATTCAAAAGTAAAGACATATACAGTATAAACAACTCAACTCAATACATTCACTGTCCCCTCTCTATTTCCCTCAAATAACATAATAGGTTTAAAATATTCCATTTCTATTTTAAATTTCTATTACTACTAAACCTGTTTTATAACTTTATCAATTTACAATTAACCATAAACAAATTTAACTTTAAATCAACAAATTATCAATTCTAATTCTTAATCTCTCACATCCCTCATTTTATCACCAATCTCATTTATTTCTGATTTGAAGAATTTTTAATAGGATAGGAAATAGATTTGCTAACTTTGTGCTTACAAAATGGTAAACCCTAAACAAAAAAACCCACAGTTGCTGTGTCATATAACATGCTGTGTCCAATGAATAAACTGAAATTATGGGTTAACCTGATGACTTGGGTTATAAATGCATGCTAGATTGTAAATTCCTCCTTAAGAAATAGGTTGGGTTAATGTAGTTGATTTCCAGGTCTTTCCCAAATGTTAACAATTCTGGATTCTAGGATTTGACTATAGATAAATTAAAACAATTCAAAGATAAATCTATCTTCAGTTTCTTTCTTTTTTGATTGGGTGAATTTGTATCTACCTTTCTCCTTTCTTGAGACATTCATTGTCAAAGCTATATATATATTCAAAAGGTCCAAAGCTAAATATATATTCATATATTGAATTTTGAATGCATATGATAAAAACCACACCGCCATAAATGATATGAAACTGGATTGGTTGTGGCAAGTTCTCTCTTCTGAATAGACCTGTTTGTTTTTGGCCTGTTGGTTCCCCTTTCTCTTCTCCTGTTCTTCTCTATTGGAAAAAAAAACCTGTACAAAATCAAATATGAAAATGTCCTCTGATGCCAGGAAAACATGTATTTTAGCACCATACAAGAAAAAAAAAAAAAGGACAAATGGATGCTGCCATTAAAAAGGCTCTTTCCCTCAAATGTCATTTAATTGCTTGCAGAAATATAACCACAGCAATCCAATGGGTAAATACTCCTCCAGAGTGGTGCAGTTAAATGTTTAAGCTCAGAATGGCTTAATGGTGTACAGTAGGAAGTCTTTGAATAATCTTGTGTAAGACTTGGAATAAGCACCATCTTATTAGTACTATGTAAAGAGTGTTATATATTGTAATATCTGTAGCTGTAATTTTAAAAAAGAAGAAGTGAAAAGAATCTGACACATTGGATACTATGCTGTCCACTCTGTGAATGAGAATTTTCTTAGTAAAACAAATCAGAAATTTCCTGGAAAGAACATGTTTTGAAGACTTGGTCTCTTGCTGATTTGGGGTGATTAAAGCCTCCCACAGCTGAGACTGCCTGCTTCTCTAAAAGTCACCAGGATAAGTGTGTTATGTGAGCATAGCAGGGGACAATAACCAATAGTTCCGTGGGATAGTAAATAATTTTTTTTGATAACCATCTAAAGTTCCCTACTATAATATATGCATTTTTTCAATGTAACAGAGTACTTTCTCAAAAAACAATTATGGGTTTGTTTTCTGCTCAGTATCAGCCTTCTCTGATTTTCAGATAAAGGCCCCAGCATTGATTTGCAGCATGACGAAAAGCAAATGGAAGGCAAAGGTGAGTTTGTCTGGTTTTTAAATACCAAAATAGTCACCTGCACCTTCAGTGAATCTCTTTTGTGTCTGAGCATTTAATATGAAAAGGGGAATGGATTTGTTTTTTTAAAAAAATCTTGTTGATTTCTTTATACAGTGGGAGAATGGAAAGTCACTATCAATGAGATGGGCAGCATATACGTTTAATAAATAACTAACTGTAGCCTTGGGCCTCTTCTTAGCTTTTAAAAATCTCCAAATTTATACTACCCAACTTCAGCAGCAGAAAATCTCTCCTTCTATATATTTCTCTCTTTGGTTGAGTTTTTTTTTTAATTCTTCTTAAAATATATTCTACTATTTATTTCCCTTAATTACCTGTGAACGGCTGGGGATCTATTTGAAAAGGAGATTTATTCTGAAGACACAAAATTCAACACAGGTGTAAATAACTGCAAACGTCTCTGCTGTCGATCCCTCTTTTCTTTTATTGTGATTTTTTTAAAGGAAGAGTTGGTGAACTAAACCAGAATCGAGTCGTGGTGTTGCTTGGTGTAGGGAGTTTCTGCAACTTTGTTTGCAGTGTATATAATCCATTTGATTTCAGTGTTGTCCATCCAGTAATATTCACATGTAGGGACATTTTGTTATTTTGAAGAAAGAAGTTATTTACTATAACATTGAATTTACTATAAATATTGCATTGGGCTTTATTTTGTAAACTGAGGCCAACTTTTCACATTATTCCAGAAGCTGCAGGTAGTCTTCAACCTACGACCACAATTGAGCTTAAAATTTCTGTTGCTAAGTGAGACAATTGTTAAGTGAGTTTTGCCCCATTTTACGACCTCTCTTGTCACAGTTAAATTAGTATCATGGTTGTTAAGTGAATCTGACTTCCCCATTGACTTTACTTGTCAGAGGGTCACAAAAGGTGTTCACCTGACCCCTGAGACACTGCAACCATCATAAGTACATGTCAGTTGCTAAGTGTCCAAATTTTGATCACATGACAGTAGGGGTGCTGCAACAGTTGTAAGTGTGAAAAATGATCATAAGTCACTTTTTTTCAGTACTGTTGTAACTTTGAACAGTCACTAAATCAACTTTTGTAAGTCGAGGAGTATTTTATTTCTGTCTTTAACATTCTAGCCTTCTTTACTTAGTATGACATCTCTTTTTCTAACTTCTGAGTCAACATAACAATTCCCCTTCTATTTCCTTTGGATCATGGTCTCGGATAACCATAAAGTTATATGGCTTGCTCTCGACCCAAATTGATATCATTGTATCATTTGATTTTGACATCCTTTTATTAATAATGATAGTTACTCCATATCTTCAATGGTTTTGCTCACGCAGAAGAAGATCTGATGTTCCTCTGATGAGAACTACTACATTCCAGTCTGTTTCAGTTTGCTGATTCTTGGAATGTCTATATTCAGCCTTGACATTCAAGTTTGCTTTGGTTTATGGCTCCTGACATTCCACATACCAATGGGGTGTGTGTGTGTGTGTATTTATATATCTTTCCAGAATTAGGTCCAGTTTTGCCACTGGACATGTCAGCTAGCCACCTCATGAGCACCATGATAGCTGAGATCACCCGCTATTGTTCCATAGTAATTTGTTGAATATCTTTTACCCTGATGGGTATTTCCAATATCACATTGACCATATCCTGATGCTTAATGCCCATTTGGGGTTTTTCTAACAGAATAATGGAGTGGGTTGCCATTTCATTCTCCAGTGGGTCCTGTTTTATCTGATTTCCTGTCTATGACCTGCCAGTAATGGATGACCCTTTGGGGAATGTACACTACAGTACTCTCAGCACTGCAGCTCATATAGTCATTTGAATACAAAAGCCCCTTGATTACGATGAACTAATAATCCATGAAAGGGCTCTTTTGGGAGGGGTGGTGGTGTCTGAAATACTTTTCCTTTCTGGGAAATAGACCATTTAATGGTATGCTAATATAGAATTGAATTACTGAGCACTTTGCCTGAAAAGTGCAAAATCAGCAAATAATTAATTCCAATCAATGTATTGGTTGAAACTGATGCCTATATATTAGCTTCATGTAGGGATGCAGAAAGGCTGATTCTTAAGCAGCCCTATGTTTCTTTTCTCTGTTTTCCCAGACCTTTTAAAGTTTCTTGGTTTGACTATTGGGATTTTCTGCTGCTTTGATCTTCTGTTGTTTTTTTTTCCAGTACTACCAAACATGCATTATTTATGAGCTGCCCTATATATGGTAGCATGCATACATTCATCCTCTGTATGAGTGTTTCTTTTCTTGCAGTTGCTGCACTTGTTATTTTTGTCTTCCAGATGGCGTCAGTGACGTTTTAAGTCACTTGAGAAAACAAGTAGAAATTTTATTTAATGCAAGATATGGTGAGTTAGTTGACTTTTTTTTTCCAAGTTAAGAATCCCATCCCCGCCACAACCAACGTGGGTTCAATTACCTGTCATTCTGAAATTCTTATTACTATAGTTTATTGCTAGAAAGGTTTTCCTTTACTGGGTAGCAAAGGAGAGTTGACTGATTGTCCTTTCCTGCACTGCAGGAGGGGATTGGACTCAATAGAGTTAATGGCTCCCTCCCAGTCTTAGGACTCATTAAAAAGATTATGGAATTCTTCTTTTAGAATCATATGGTTGGAAGGGACCTAGGTCAGTGTTTCTCAACCTTGGCAAGTTTAAGCTGTATGGACTTCAACTCCCAGAATTTCCCAGCCAACCTATTCTGGGAGTCGAAGTCCATACAGTTTAAGATTGAGAAACACTGTTCTAGGCCAACCTCTTGTCATGTGCAGGAATCCTCAGACCATCCCAAACAAAGGGCTGCCCAGTCTTTTCGTGAGAATTTCCAGTGATGGAGCCCCCACAACTCCTGGATGCAATCTGTTTCATTGCTTAATCATTCTCCCAGTCAGGAAATTCCTCCTTAATTCAAGTTCGGATACCTCTCTGTAAAGTTTTCACCCATAGGTTGTTATCTTACCCTCAGTTGCTAGGGAGAACAAATCTACTCCCTTTTCCTTGTGACGGCTTTCATGTATATTCCTCTCCACAACCATTTAACCAAGATACAAAAAGCAAGGGGGTTAGGCACAAAATTTGAATCCCCCTCCGTGTGCTCTGATTTTAATGGCCCTCTGGATAGATCATTACAAGCAGGGTCTAAGAAACTGTCTCAAGGAAACTGGAATTGGCAACCACTGGTTCACAGACGAGCTGTGAAATTCACTGGACTCCTTTCATAGTCTACATCTGCAGATGGTGTTGATGTTGCTAAACTATATTTCCAGACTCCTTAGTCACCCCAGCTGGCATGGCTAGTGGAGTGGGATGTCAAGAACTGTAAGTCAGCCATGTTTGTTCAATTAGGACAGAGGTAGGCAACCTTGGCTCTTTTATGACTCGTGGACTTCAACTCCCAGAATTCCTGAGCCAGCATGGCTGGCTCAGGAATTATGGGAGTTGAAGTCCACGAGTCATAAAAGAGCCAAGGTTGCCTACCCCTGAGTTAGGAAGTCAGACTTTGAATGGAAGATGGGAGAGAGGGATGCAGATCCTCATCAACTGACCAAATTCTTTCCTGATAGCGATTCCTTAGTGTGGAGAGATCAGTGACGTGGTTTGATCCTCTGGTCATGGACATAAATCTAGGAGAGCTCCTAAGCAATGGATCTCTACGTTTAGCAGTTCAGTCCAAAGCAGATTCCTTCCCCAGTTCCAGTTTGACTTTTCTCTAATGGAGACCATGGCAATGTTCCTTTCTGAAGTGACATGCTTGCCTCTGCAGCGAAAGCCATAGGAATTTCTGAGCCCGTCAAAGTCCCGTATTCCAAATTCTTGATGTACCCAGAAGACCTTTTTGTGGTGGGCTTGCCTGATGGCATCCTACTCAGACGGCCCAACTGTTTTGGGATTGCAAAGCTAAAGAAGATTCTTCAGGCAAGCAGCAGAATCCGGTTTGTTATCAAGAGGTAAGATTATCAAGATATCCGAATGTTGCCAGAATTGTTTTTTCTCTTTGTTTTTGACTCCCCCCCCTTTTTTTTTTTGCAGAATGAGAGCATGATATCATGGTCGTCTTGCATCTAATATCCCCAGACATACTTGCTGGAAGTTAATAATTCAATGTGATCTTTTTAAAATCTAATAGCTTTGGCTTTATTTCAGAGAAAGAATAAAATAGCCTCCGCAGTGGCAAGATTTTGTTGGTATAGAACAGGGGTAGGCAACCTTGGCTCTTTTATGACTTGTGGACTTCAACTCCCTGAATTCCTGAGCCAGCATGGCTCAGCTTGGAAACCTCTCCCTTCCCCTCAGCATGGCTGGCTCAGGAATTCTGGGAGTTGAAGTCCACGAGTCATAAAAGAGCCAAGGTATAGAATATTCACAAATTGTTTGCTGCTTACTCTCCATTATTACTGTATTTTTATTGTTGGACATAAGAATGGACGTGTGCAGAATTTTCTGTTTTAGGTGCTGAAATAACTATAAACCAGAAAGTTTTGCATTTTGATTTAGCATAAGGCAATATATATTTTCTACTTTGGACAGGAAGATATTCTACCAGCCCCCAAATCCTGGAGTTTCAAATGTATAGTTTCTGAAACTACGGTATATTATGTTTGCCAGAGTTCATAACAGCATGAAAATGTCTGTTGTGCGCTGCCTGAAAAATCTGCAGCAGGAAAAATATTCTAAGCCCAAGCCTTGAGATTATTCAGTGTTTTTCTCCCTAAGTAAAATTTTAATCTTATAATATTGCCTGTTTCTGACAGCAGAATTTTGTTTCCGTGGATTCTCTTAGATGTACCTGATAGAGGGTCCCTTTAAAATTGCTGCCAAATATTAATTTTCAGTGAGACGGAAGGAAAAGAAAAGATATGAAATGTATGGAAGTAATCCCATTCAGCCTATTTAATTGATTACATTTAATTTGGATTACATTTAAAGATGAATTAAATGTATCTGCCTGTGAGTTATTTAATGATCTTTTGGGTTACAATCTAGGACAGTTTTTGGTCTAAAAAAAAGGACTTCTCCATTGTGCTAGAGACAGTGACAAGCCAATAGAAGCAATAATCTGATGGAATAACAATTTTAATAGGAGGGCAAAATAGTAAAGTCTTTTCAGAGGCTTCAGCTTCTGTTGCTTAAATGCCCAGGTAGAACTGAGAAATATTCTTTGTCTGTAAACCCAGAAAGTTGCTGCTGCTAGCCAGTGCAATGCAAAAACCACTGATTTTAATGCATTGTTTCTCTGATATTGTCTTTTAGGCCAGAACTTCTTGCAGAAGGAATGAAAGAAATGACTTCAGACAGCTCAGGAGCAATAGGTAAGGATGTGGATTCCTAGTTGCTGGTTATTGTCTTTGAAGAAATCAAGAGAATCTTGTCAACTGAAAAATAGGCAAGTTTATTATGGCCTACATTTTTGTTCATTAGAGTCCTTTCCCTCATAAGCATGAAATATTAGCCTAGATTGGCATTGGAACCCATGTGATTATATATGCATGATATATAATACATGGCATGTATATTAGCACCATGCAGTGCTCCCTGCATGCACCAAACCACCTTTTCACCTTTGAATCCAAAGGTGGTAACACAAGAAAACAAGATGCAAGAAATGCTGACTTTTATCACTACATTAAAGCTTCAGTAAAGAATTATACCCACCCACAAGGCTATATTGATTTTTTTTTAACAAATGCAAAGCGAAAAAGAAACAAAAGGGTTTTGTCCAGGCATTGAAGATCATTTAATATTTATTTATTTATTTTTATTTATTTATATCCCACCATTATTATTTTTACAAATAACTCAAGGTGGTAAACATACCTTTCTCCTCCTATTTTCCCCACAACAAGAACCCTGTGGGATGGGTTGGGCTAAAAGAGAATGACTGAGCCAGGGTCACCCAGCTGATTTTCATGGCTAAGGCACTACTTGAACTTACTGTTTCCTGCTTTCTAGCTGGTGCCTTAAGCACTAGACAAAACTAACTCTCTAACATTATTTTCTGCTTTAAAAATATATAGATCTCGAAGAAACATTCAACATGAGTGGGCAGCCTTTGTGGCCTTGTACACCAAGTAGATACATAGATAGAATAAAAGTTTAGCATTAAACTTATCAAGAGTGTCTCAAATTGCTCATGGAGAAAATATGTGGTCGCTAAGAGTCAACAATGACTTGATGGCACATAATCAATCCTCAAATTGCCAAGTGTTGCAAGAATTTGGCAACCTCACCCCTCACACTGGTGTAATTTCAGGTGAGAAGATTATAATCTGAGGTGAGCCCACCAAAACCTCATAAAAATTTTGGCATTTTCTATGAATTTACACAAAACGATCCTGTTCTTATTTAAAACCTTAAACCAGCCCTGAAATCTCCAATGATTTGGTGATTTTGTAATCTTTTCACCCCTTTCTAATTTTTGAAAACATAATCAGTGTTGGACACAGTCTGGAGGAATCACGGGTACCTTACTGCATGCAGGTGCCGTATGGCTAACTCCTAAATTTTAAGATGAAAATAAAAAGTGAAAATAAATCTAAACACCCTTCCTTTGTGTTGGCAGCCAATGATAGAGTCTCCATTGAGCCTGTTGAAGAACCTGTAAAAAGACCAGGATTTCAAGGTGAGAACGGGGATGAGGTAGGATTTTTGGCTGTCATGTTGACTTTTTTGACACCTCCATTCCTTGAGTACGTTGTGGTTTCAATTGATTGTGTAACATGCAGGGCAGTTTTCTGCACATTAGCTCTCTTGTCTCTTTAAGGCAAGGTCCCCAATCTTTTGGGCACCAGGGACCAGTTCCATGGAGGGAAGTTTTTCCGCAGATTGGAGGATGCGAGGTTTTGTGTGCTGCCTGCATCTCGCGGATGGGGCTTTGCTTGTTTGTGCGCTCGGTTGCTGGCATGCTGCGGCCCGGTAGCAGTCCATGGACCGGGGGTTGGGGACCCCTGCTTTAAGGCACTCCCACTGGATTGCCAATCAGTAGGATTTGCCATTCTTCTAAAAAGTTTATAGAAATGTGCAGCTGTTGCCTTGTTGGTGGAGATGGTGTGCTTTATTTACAAATTTTAGCGTGAGAGAGATTGTATTATATTTCTTTTATGTTCCAAATAAAGGTCCCTTGACTGAATACGACTCCATTAAAAAAAAAAAGAATAAATCACTCTGCAAGTGGAAAATTTAATTATCCGAGGAAGGACAGTATTTCTCTGGCTGTACTTTTCACATGCTAATCTATACTTGGGGATGTAATTATTTTGTGTGAGGGAATTTTCTTTTGTCTGAGCTCCCATCTGTTCTGGGCTGAATTTAAATATATATTTGCCATCTCAGGGAGAACTAGACACATTTATTATATTAACATCTTTACCTAGTTGCCAAAAGTCTTCCCCATTTGCTCAACCGGCAAGACTCTTGGGCACATTGCAGATATAATCTCAGAACGAGAAAAAGTCAGCAGGAAACTATCAAAAAAAGTTTAAAGTTGAAAAAAGTGTTTGCTGAAAGAGAAAGGTCTTGGCATGGTACTTTTTAATGTATTTCCTCCTGAAACGAGGAAAAATTTATTCCTTGCTCACATCTTCAGTGGAGCAAACCGTTGTTTCCTGTCCCTTCGTAAGCATTCAAATGGTGGCTTGTAATGGATCCTAATTCTACTTGGCAGGGAAGACTTACTTTTCTTGGTTTAAGGTTCAGTCTGCCTGGTGCTCATGGGTTTCATTTTTCCTAATAAATGAAAATAAACAGGTATGAAAAATAGTTTTAAAACTTTTTATTACTTTGTAGTCCAATTGTCTATGCAGATTCCAATCATCTAGGTCCTGGTTGTTCCAAAGGTGCTTTTCCAAAAGGCAACTAAACTATACCTGTTTTTTTCTTTGAAAATGTTTCATTTCTCATCCAAGGAGCTTCTTCACTTCTAACAACTGAAGTCCAATTATTGCTGATTCTCCTTTTAAAAGAATTTTCTATTAAAGCTGAAATGTGTGTTTTTTGTATTCCCCCTCCCCAATGTTTTTTTTTTATTTTTAAAAGATTACAAAGTTAAAATCACCCAATGCAGAAAATCTGATGTCCACCCTTTCAAGCACAGTCTTTGGAGAATCCAATACATTCTAATTTGTATTTAGGTCTTGTTTGTGTTTGACAAAACCTGTGATCTAGTAGGACAGATTCTGTTATGGTTTCCATCTTTCTTTACAGAAAATTATGATACTCGGCTGTCAAGAATAGACATTGCAAATACACTCAGGGAACAGGTTCAAGATCTGTTCAACAAGAAGTATGGTAGGTGTTTTTGCGTAAAGTCACTAGCGGGCACAAAGAGGAGTCTTTAATTTGAGAAAATGACTGGCTATTAGCAGTCGTAGAATGATAGAATCTTAGAATTGAAGACTTGGAAGAGACACCAAGGATCATCCAGTCCAACCCTCTACAAGGAAAATCAATTAAACCGCCAGGAGATGTGGCTACCCAGACTTTTCTTAAAGGATCCACAACCTATGGAGTTAAAGTAGAGGTGGTGTTTTACTGGTCTTGCTTTATGTTCATTTGCCTGCAGAATAGCTTGGATTAAAATGTAAACATTTTAAAAAGAAACTGTACGTGCCTTAAGACAGGGGTTCCCAACCGGGGGGGGGGTGCGAGATGATATTCCAGGGGGTGCGAAAACTTGGGTTTAAAATTTCAAAATTATAGTGTATATGCATCATTCGTTGCCGTTATTTTGAACTTTTGTAAGGGGTGCGAGAATATATCAGAAGCGTTCTAGGGGTGCGGGGTATAGAAAAGGTTGGAAGCCGCTGCCTTAAGAGATGTTTTGAATTGAGTCATTCTTAAGCGTGTCTCTGTTCTTCTGGCCAATTTTCAAAACAATTCAATGC